AGTGAGGGTGTTGAAAATACTTATGTATTTAAATATGTATTTGTATTTGTATATGTGCATATAAAATGCACTCATAAGCTTATTATACTTTATTTACCAGCTTCGCATAATTGTAATACTTATAAGCATATTTTTGATACATTAAACAGTCAGTCCACTCATAAACCTCAAACCGTCGTGTTCTTTATTCTCTCTCTACAATTTTGACATCTCCGACTCACATTTTACCATTAAAAAAACCTTACTTGAGATTTTGAATAAATAACATGTAAACCCTTACATTGCACCTTATCGTTCAGCTGGTGAACTGTATTTCTGTTCAGTTTATGAGGTAAACGTAAACGTGAATCGCTTTTTTGTAACTAAATAAATTAATATCTTTAACCGGGAACGATAAATTACACAATATCTATGACTGCTTAGTACAACTGTAATCGGCTTCGTATATTTTCGCGACCGCGTAAGACAATACGAGCATGGATCTGAAACTTGGCCTTTCCGACCATGATCAACAGCTTGTCCACAGCGCGGAGCGGAAACTAGAGCTTTCCGCCTGCCACACACTCAAAGTAATGACTTCGGGAGCATGGATCGGAAACTCGTTCTTTCTGACCATGCTGAACAGCTTGTCCACAGTTTAGGGTGGCCAGATATTATAGTGACATAATCAGGACAGTTGGGATCAAAAATCAATACAAAGCCATAAAAATCAGCTCATTTTTAAGCGTATTTTTATACCCGAGCGCACTTGTGCACAAGGGTATATTAACTTTGTTCACATAACGGTTGTTTGTAACAGCCAAAACGAATCAAGATAGATATAGACTAATGTATACATAAATGCTTAGAATGAATAAAGAAGTCGATTAAGCCATGTCTGTCTGTCCGTCCGTCCGTGTACACGATAACTCGAGCAAAAATTGAGATATCTCAACGAAATTTGGTATGTAGGTTTCCATTTATCCAAGGTAGGTTGGTATAGAAAATGGGCGAAATCGGACTGTAACCACGCCCACTTCCCATATAACGGTAATTTTCAGAAATGCGAAAAC